GAAGCGGCCACCCTCCGCTCTGACCCTTCCCTCGCCAAACAAATCTGGGATCTGGTCAAATCGACCTCTTTAACCTCCTCCGAAGCCGAAGAACTCCTGGGAGGCTCCATCCCATCCCAGGAGGCAATGCTCGACTTGATCGACCACGGCAACTCCTCCGGGGGCCGTCAGGGCCGAATCTGGACTTTGGACCCCATCGACGGCACCAAGGGTTTCCTGAGAGGAGGCCAATACGCCGTTTGTCTCGCCTTGCTCCAAGACGGAGACGTGAAAGTGGGCGCAATCGCATGCCCGAACCTGCCCGTTGACGACTCGGCCCCGCTTACGGCCGATATCGGTGCCAACGCTTCGGACGAGGACGGAAGAGGAGTTTTGTTTTCCGCTGTGCAAGGACTGGGCGCCACCAGCCGTCCGCTTAAGACGGGAGATCTAGCTGAGGGCAAAGAGATCTCCATGAAGCCCATTACGGAAATGTCGGCCGCCAGTTTCTGCGAGAGCGTTGAGGCGGGTCACTCGAACCAGTCCGAGAGCGCTCAGATCGCGCAAAAGCTGGGGATTACTCGTCCTAGCGTGAGAATGGATTCCCAGGCCAAGTACGGATCGATCGCCAGAGGAGCGGGCGATATTTACTTGCGGCTGCCTACTTCAAAGACTTACCAGGAGAAGATTTGGGATCATGCTGGTGGTGACTTGATCGTTAGGGAGGCGGGTGGGCAGGTTACGGATACCAAGGGGAATCGGCTGGATTTTGGTGTTGGAAGGACGTTGGCGAGCAATAGCGGTGTTATTGCTGCTCCCAAGGCTGTTCATGCGCAGGTGTTGGATGTGGTTCAGGAGGTTCTTGGTTTGAAGAAATGAGCCCCTATTTTTGGTCTTCCCTGCCTGCTGTGTCTTTTGTTCGGTTCATGAACGCCTGAAAAATAATGTACATGTTTATATAATGGCATAGATGCGCGCACAACGCTGGGCATCCAAATGCCACTCCACAACAAGTGGCCACAAAAATACTACAACTAGATGATGTACAGCAACAGCAATATGCTTACCCTCTCTATTTGATCTTCTTCTGCTTGAGCTTGATGGTCTCGTCGTTGATGAAGATACCCTTGCCCTTGTACGGTTCCGGTCTTCTCCACTTGCGCAGGTTGGCCGCGTACGACATGAGCTCCTCCTTGTTGATACCCTCAAGGAGCACTCTCGTGGGCAATGGGGCACTGGCCTTCATTCCCTTGGGCAGGCCGAGCTCGACGGGGTGGGAGAAACCGAGCTTGAGGCAGACGAACAGCTGGCCTGGGTATTCCTCCTTTTCGGGACGGGCTTCGACTGTAGCTCTGTAACCGATACCGACGAGACGGAGGACGGCTGTGTGGCCTTCCGATACGCCCATGATGAAGTTGTTGAGGTATGACCATGTGGTGCCTGTGTTTCCGAGCCCCAAACTGTCAGCATTTCCATATTTCTCCCCGCGAGATTAGGCAGCCAGATGTATGCATACCCCACATCTCCATCTGCTTCTTTTGGTTCTTGTCTTGCACGCTGAGCGTTATCCTCTTCGTCACGGGGTCGAGGTCCAGATTAAGGAACGCGGGGACGTCGAGTTCTTGTTTCCCTGGTGAATAGCAAAAACAAAAGTGTTAGAGTTCGGTATCCTTTGTCTCTCTACGCCCAGGCGACGTCTTGCTCTTGAATTGCTCAGTCCATACCCAATGGTCCCGTAACCGTCACCTTCCTCTTCTGCTGCTGGAGGTATGTGGTGACATCCTTCTTAACAAATAAGTCGCCAATTGACAATTCCACACCTGGGGGGATCGAGATTGGGTTTCTGCCGAGCTTCGAGGGCCGGGTTGCCGTCGCCGAGAAGGTTCGCCTTGGTGATGTTGTGGGGGATGAGCTTGTGGTCTGGAAGGCGGGAACGAGGAAGCTGGGGAGTGTGATGGTCGAAGAGGAGGAGGAAGAGGTGAGCGCCCTCCCCAGCGCTACCCTCCCGGTATTGGAGGCGAGCATATTTGGGCAATTGGCGGGCGGGCGCGTCGCGGAGCTGCGCTGCTGCTGGGCTGGGTGTGGATGAGTCTCAATCGCTTTTGATAAAAAGATTGGGGACTAGAGCCCTGGCTGTCGGCTGGTTCCGTTTTTGGCGGGGGCCTTGGCAAGTGTTCGTCAGCTGGTAGGGGTATAGCTTCTTTCCTTTTTGGGCAGGAACGACTTCATTTCTTCGCTGCAACGGCTTCATTGATTGAAGTTGGGATGAAAAAAAGTTTGCGGAGTCGAATAACTCGCAATGACTTCGATGTTATTGTTGCATACCTATTCTTCTCTTCCAAAGGCGGGATAAAAAAGTGAAACGGTGATCACTCAGCCCCCATGAAGACGACATCTTCACTGGCATGATCGACGATAGCTTCAACCCCTATTTTCTAATACCTTCGGGTGTCTGAAAGGTCCACGTCGATGATCCCACAAAAGCATACAGAGCTATTATACTAACACTACTGAGCTAATTAATGATACATGATGAAAATGCAGCCCCAATTTTGGTGGTGCACTTCTAAAGCTCCTCTCCTCAGTTCTTCGCAGAAACAAATTTACGATTCAAGCTAACTATGCCATTCGCTCCAGTTACAAATCAGATTTTTAACTTCATTGTACAATATCAAATTCACTCGGTTGTCCCACCCCACCTATTCATCCCAGCTCGAAGTGATCGTTTTGAGCTCTGCCCACAATGACGGCTTCAGCTGATCTTTCTCTGCAATCGTGCCTTCCCAGTTCAACTTCCCCGCCACAATTTGTAAAATACATGCCACTTAAGGTTTCAAGCTGCCTTGAAATCTCTAATCTCTGTAATTTCTTCTCTTCTTCTCTCCAAGTTCACGACGGTCGCCCGCCTCTTCTCAAGATATCCATGATTACATCGACACGACTCAAGTATCAATTCGCTCAACACTTCCGCCGCGATGCTGACGATGCAAACAACCCTAACGTTTCTCTCCTTAATGGTGCCTTGCATTAACGGATTTAATTGGAAAGGTGACAAAAGCCAAATTCGCCGTAAGTTGGCCTTCCATCTGTAGGATTCGCGGTCGCTGATGCTGCTTCACAGTGGGATCAAACCCCACCCCCTCAGAACTTCTACAGAAACCACCCCATCATTCAGATATCTACACTGTCGCCCTCAACGAACTTCAGGAGCTTGAGTCCGAACCCCTCTGCCATCGTGTAGCAGCCCGGCTGTTAGTGAACAACTGCCAGCTGGTAAACGGGAAGAATGAAGCGACAATCCTCACAGATAGTGGACGGCAAATCCGAGATTTCGTCGACACATATGCAGCCAGTTTAGCCATTTGTGATCTTGAACGAGGGAGCTTCACAATCCCGAAAGAATGCGCCAAGTTTCGAGAACCCTCTCTTAGTCAAATTGTGATGAGACACGACCCTGAACTCCATGTCAGCCCCAAAGAGATTGGACTCTGTCTCTCTGCGCTCGCTGCCAATGATGCGGCATGGACTACATGGGTTAGTTATCGCCACAAGGCACTTCGGTTTTGTGAAGCAGCGCGAGCGGATAGCGAAAAGGGCAAGTTTCATCAAGCAGGCAGTAGTTGCTGATTATGACTAACCCTCGGCAGATCAAAATATATTGATCTACCAACGTCTCACCAAAGTCATTGCGAAGCTCACGGACGGTGTGGAACTGGAGCTTCAGAAGCGGATTGATGACTTAGATAACCGGGCACGACAGTCGTTTGAGAGCTTCGAACGTCTGACGCCACAGGTGGACAAACTGGCTGAGGGACTAACCAAACTGGAGAGCTATCTTTCTGGAGATCTAGACTTAGCCATGCGCAAGTCAACAGAGACTGTGCAAGGGGGACTGGAGAGCGCGGAGAACCTGCAACATCTCCTTAGGATTCTGATCACCAACGTTCTCGAGGGCAATTCTCAGGTAGCATTCGCCCACGAGAAGTCACTTCAGCAAGTTTCCAAGAAGGTCAACGACGATATGGGAGCGTTTATGGCAGTTGTTGGCAGTGCCGTGGCTTCTTCTGCTTCTCTTCAACAACAGATTGTGAGTCTCTTTTGATCGAAAATTTTCTAGCGGCGGTACTAACAATCTCTAGCAATTCTCAAATCAACAAGCTGCTGCACTTTCGGAACGACAAGACACTCTCGAGAAAGGGATGGATCGAATCCTCGAGGCAACCGAAACCCTATCAACCAAGTTTGACGACCATTCCACCACGCTCACACAAGCAAGAAATCTCACCAACGAAATCCTCGACTCACTCGAAGGGACAGCTGTGGCTGCGCTTTCGGTCAACGAGTCTCTCTTTAAAAGTGCAACAACACAAAGCTGGTGGCCGCTCATCGTTTGCCCCACGGTATCTGTCTACGTGGGGTCACTTGGACTTCCACCTTCCGTGCTCCGAAACTTTGGACTGGCTGCATTCGGCGAGGTTATTGGGATTGCCATTTCTGCTTATAGCAGACTCACGATCGACATTTTTACCGCTTATAACTCCGCTTCTGCTGCTCACAAGATGGCCTCGGAGGTCATTACCAACGTTACGGATTTCGCATCCTCACTCTGATTTGTATTGATGCAAACACACCTTTTATCCCGAAAGGGCTTTTTGGTGGTTGTTCGGGGAGATTTACTCTTCTGAGCTCGTCGCTGGACGTTATCGAGCTCTTATCATAGGTTAGGAAGGGAGGAATATGGACAAGATGAATTGCAACTTTTGGAAGAGATGGGCTAGGGTAGGCATGGACTGACGATGTTTGCCATTTATCCCTTAGCCAGATGCCTAGATATCATGATAAGAATGAATGACGACCTTGATTTACAACCTTTTGATTGAATATGAGATTTGTGGCGAACAGTTCTTTGACCTGGGGGTGTGATGTTGCGTAAGTTTGTTCCAGTTGAACGCAGAGTCTGGTGCAAATTTAAGCACAATTCCGGATAAGCAGCTTCCAACAGAACGGAACCCGAAAAACATGGGTGACTAGTCTAGTGGTCAGGACGCTTCGTTGTGGTTCAACAACTCGTTGATACATGACGACCGAAGAAACCCCGGTTCGATTCCGGGGTCGCCCAACTCTTTTTGCATATTTTCGTTACATTCAAGATATGTCTTGATGAAGCAGAATCTTTTGGTGGCTGTTTCGTATTTTTATTATGCAGATTTGAGACTGCTGGCTTTGAAGATGCTGAAGTCGAGATGGTTGGTGGCTTCATGCGTGTGGGCAATGCCAAGTCTTCACCTGACTCTGCATGTAGAAAGGCAGTGACAGCGGATTCCTTGTCTCCCCTTTTTTTTCTCCCTTTTTCTTCCTGGTCGCTGTCCTCTGGATAAAAGGGTTCAGTATACCATGTATCTTTCCTAAGAGAACTAACTCACTCCGAATGAAGATGGAACCTCCACCTCAAATGAATGTTTACATAGATAATTAGAATTTTATATTTTTTATTTTGATATGTGGGTATTCAAAGCTTTTTTTATATATATATGTATACAATCTCATATAAACACACACACACACACACATCCAAATCTTCATTTTCTCATGTCACATAAGCCATTGGTAGATGCACATCTCAATCATACCAAATAGCATTCATGCCAAACCCAGGCTCAGGAATCTGCACCCTCGCGACGCGATGCAAGTACTCGTCCTGCCACCTGTAAATCTCCAACCATCCCTCCTGGTCATCAGTAATAGCCACCCACTCGTCGCTCCAGTCGCAGGGACTGACGGCATTACTGTGGCCACCGCTGGTAGGAGTGGGGTTGAGCGCAAGCTGCTTCTCGATGCTTCCGCAATCCCGAAGCTTGAAAGCTGACATGTACCCTTGCAACTCGAACTTGTTCGCTCTGCTTGAGGCGTACATGTACTTTCCACTAAAGGTCAATGCGACCACATCGGCGCGGTACAGGCCTTTGCCGGTTTCCTTGTCTTTTGTAGGGATTCCAGGCGGGATCAGAGGGAACGAATGGTGCGTGTAAACAGGCATGTGGGTTACTGGGTCGATTACGTACTCGCAGAGACGGTTTCCGGCCTCCATGAGCGCGTAGAGGTAGTTGCCGGAGGGATGCATGGCTACCCAGCGGGGGTGGTCGTCGGGGGAAGGGGCGGAGATGGAGCCGACGAGCTCGACCTTGCCGTTGGGGAGCTTCTTGTGAGTCCAGAGCTTGTTGGCTGTCAGGTCGGCGGAGTAGAGGTAGGTTTCTGTCGGGTCGAAGACCATGCCGTGGATTCCCGTGTTGGGATCGTAAGGATAGTTTTGGACATTCGTTTCGAGGGCGCCCGTGGAAGAGACGTTGAAGACGTTGCCGAAGCCTGCGTGCTTGTAAAAGGGGTTGGCGTAGACGTTGTACGGGGGTTGTTTGGCTGCGAGGAGGAAGATGGCGCGGGTGTTTGTTTCGGAGGATTGGGCCAGGGCTGGATAAGAAGAAAAAAACGACGTCAGCGGAATTATTTCTAGAATGCAATTGATAGTAACACTTACGGTCACCACCAATTTGGTGGGATGCCTCGTGGACAATCTCAGTCGGGCTCTTGACGGCGAAGCTGGACCATTTCTTCATGGCAGCGCCGTAGAGGTTCTTCTTGTCGTGCTGTTGTTTTCATGGTCTGTCAATAATTGCATCTGATTGGCCAATTGATTTGAGATTACAGAAAAATTCATACGCTGAATGTCATCCATGATATCGGTTCGTTCTTTGGAATCTCGGTGCGCTTGATGAGCTTCAGAGTCAAAGCTTCATCGTCGAATTGGACTGTGAAGATTGCTCCTGGCGGGGTCCAGGTCCCGCACATCAAGTGGTGGAGGGGCATGTTTGAGGAATGACGTCGGCTACGGAAGCCGGGATATTTTGGGGGAGCTTGGTGTCTGATGCGAGTTGGAAATCTGAATGAGGACAACAACAACAACAACAGCTCAGGAACAGTAGAAGGAACAGTCGCTATCGTACGATGACGGAATGTTTTGCTCGGTCTCAAATTTTGGAGAATCATTTTTTTTTTTGGTCCTTCATTACTTTCTTCTTTCCCCGGAATAGTTGCCGATCTCTTGGAGTGGACAACTCAATTGCGGGCAATTCTTTTACCCCTCGGTGAGAACCCCCATTCTTCGGGATCTGAAATGTGGGGAGGGATCCATTGAGACAACAGGGGTCGGATGCGGCTGCGGTAATCTCCAAAACTTTCATTCGTTGCACATATTCCGACATGTTTTTGAGTTCGGGTAAAGGCTCATCCCAGCAATCCGAGGCCTCATGCCGGTCACACATCTCCATAGCTCACACCATGATGGCGGCCCCGACTTTTGGACAAAGAAGGGGCCCCAAGGGGAAGAGGGCTTAGTGGCTTTTAGAATCTCCACTTGGAGCCCGCGATTCAGGGTGCCAAGGATGCGAGAGCCGACACGCGATCAACCCGTTGCAGGTGTCCCTTGCCGGGCCTAGCGGTGCCGGGACGCTTTGAGTGTTCTGGATCGAGGGCTAAATTTGTCCCGGATTGCCTCCTTCTCCATCCCCACTCCCGAGATGGGCGACTTTGGGAAGCTCAACCTGCCGCGACGGCTGTCCGATCGCTCTCTCGGCGGGGAAAATGACACCACAGAGTGGCCAGCGTCCTATCACGTTGGCTGAAATTGCAATTCCGCAGTTTGATGCAGAGAATGGGCAAGACATACTGACATAGAGATCCCTGGCTGGAGTCTCTTTCTTTATTTAACAACCCGTCAATCCCATCCTCTCGGTTTCTGTTTTCGTATTCATCCTCTTCATCATCGACATCAGCATCATCTCTTCTTTCCCTTCTCTCCTCCCCAACAAACCCTTTCAATATACACAACAGATCCAACAAATCCAACAATCCAACAAAATGTCCCCCAACGAGCAGCCCGCCGCCACCCACCGCTTCGACCCCAACTTCACCAAGAATGTCGTTGAGGGCATGGGTCCCAACACCACCCCCCGCAACCGCCAGGTTCTCGGTGCTCTGATCCGCCACATCCACGACTTTGCCCGTGAGGTCGAGCTCACCGTCGACGAGTGGATGGAGGGTGTCAAGTTCGTCAACGCTCTTGGCGAGATCTACTACACCAGCAACAAGACCCGCAACGAGACCCACCGCATCTGCGATGTCCTCGGTCTCGAGTCCCTCGTCGACGAGATCGCCCACAAGATCATCTCCGAGGGCGAGCTCGACCCTACCTCCTCCTCCATTCTCGGCCCCTTCTGGTCCCCCAACGCTCCCTTCCGTGAGCTCGGCGGCGAGATCTTCCAGGATGGCATCCCCCCCAACGGCCGTGTCACCAAGATGCACGGTGTCATCCGTGACATTATCACCGGCGAGCCCATCCCCGGCGCCGTCTTCGATATCTGGCAGGCTTCCGCCAACGGAAAGTACGACTTCCAAGACCCCGAAAACCAGACCCCCAACAACCTCCGTGGCAAGTTCCGCGCCAACGAGAAGGGCGAGTACTACTTCTACTGCCTCCACCCCACCGCCTACTCTCTTCCCCGCGATGGCCCCTCGTGGCAGCTTCTCTCCCTCATGGACCGCCACCCCATGCGCCCCGCCCACATCCACATCATGGTCACCCACCCAGAGTTCCAGGGCTGCACCACCCAGCTCTACCCCTCTGACGACCCGTGGGTCAAGAGCGACACCGTCTTTGCTGTCAAGGATGACCTCGTTGTCGACTTTAAGCCCTTCACTGATGGCAAGGCTGTTCTTGAGCTCGAGTACAACGTCAACCTTGCTCCCAAGGGCTACAAGGGCAAGATCTAAGCTTGGCTTGACTGCCTGAGATAAAGATTTATGATGACGTTTTCTATTTTTTTTTTCAACTTTTCACATTGTACATATATTTTATAACCCCCTCACACCATGAGTACATATACCCCTTGTATCAAAATTCCACATGGGAGGGGTAAAAGGGTTTGGGTTGCTCGGACCTGTTGGTGTTGTTTTTATATAGAGAGAAGCATGTATAGCAAGAGCTATCTAGTAGTTTTGTCATGATAGTTGGATGAGAGAATGATCAAAGTTTCAAAACAATAAGTTCTTACAAGGCTTTCGTGACAGTATTGGTGTGATTGTTCTTTTCCTCTTCCTTTCCCCCATCTCAATTGTTTTGATGAAATTGATTTACCCCTTTTTATAGCCCATGGTGTCACATGGAAGGGGATTTGCATATTTGTGCTACAACGAGAAAAGGGGCCTTGAGGAAAGGGAAAGTTGAATGGATGAAAGTTGAACTAAACGATGTTTACTGTCTACAAAAGAGTTAAAATTTTAAAAACCGATCGAAATACAGGAAACATCAAAATTGGAATGTCTTGTGTTCATGAATGAGGGGAAGCCAGGGCGCGAATATAGAAAGCACAAAGTGCTTAGTTCACGAATCACTAAATTCTCGACATATCGGATCTAAAATGTTTCATGTGAGGTAGGTAGGCAGTGCGACTGTAAAGAAGGTGGTTTGTGATTGTCGCTTTTGCAAAACTAGCCGGTCATTGGTTTGCGACGCGAATCCGTATTGGGTTTGTAGGTTTTAACTAAGATATGCTATTCGTTCATGGTCGTGAAGGAGTTCATGGATCGATCCCTGGGTCAAGTATTATCTACCGTAGTTAGTTAGATATATAAATATATATACATATTTATTTATTTATTATTCATACTGCCGATGTGCCTATCCTAGGGCGTGCCGGTCCAGCAAGCTATCTTAGTGTACAGGAAAACCGTGCCAGTCTTCTGACTGGGTGGAAAAAAAATATATATATACATATATTTAGCAGTTCTTCGATATGTTTGGAAGAGGGAGGTGTAATAAAGCCCATGTAGATCAGGAGGAGAATTTAACTTATGGGCAAATGGGTTATTTTGGGTGGTTGCCTGTGTTTACACGTCTCGTATATTGAGTCTTGTACACTTTCATTGATGACTTGTGGTTAGGGTTTATGTATATATATGGGTGCGTGTGTATGTATGTGTGTGTATTGTTGGTGAGGATTGTTTCAGTGGTAGAAGTCCGATGTTATTGACGCACGAGCGATTATCTTGTTGGTAAGGGTTTTTTTT